CCCCCTTTCCCCCCCCCCCCAGCATATATGTGTTGAAAAACACAAAATGCTAAGATGGTAGCAGAACGCATGATGACTCTCCTTCACCAGATCATACCGCGCCGGGCATATAGATCTGGAAGAGGGAAGATGCCGCCCCTCCTAGGTTAGACCCGCAAGGGCATTCAAACCGAATGAGGGACGGGTGCCGCTCCTCCTAGTTTAACCTGTGAGGGTCTTCAACCTAGTAAGGGACGGATGCCCATGTTACGTCGACGTCGATGATACGTCTCAATCATCATCGACCTCGAACGACGGCCGTTAGTGCTCTGGCCGCCGTAGACCGGACTCCCTGCCGAGGACGATCTTGAACACAAGAAGAAGATGGTATTCGAGGATGACGATGATCTTCGACTGTCGAAGACGGTCTTCGGCTGATCAAGACGATCTTTCACTGCTGAAGGCACTGTGGCCTTCAACTGACGAAGACGATCGTCCACTGTTGAGGCCGACGTTCAGGTGATAAAAAAGACCTTCCAAGACATCCTGCCACTGACGACGACGGCGATCCTGACAATCCTATGCGTTCCACCTCACACTGCCGCAACATTAGCGTGGACACGCCAAGGTTCTGAGGAAGCGGTAGCCACGGCTCCCGCGCGGGGCCTTGATCCCTCGCTCCCAAGGTTATTCCGCGGGAGAATTCCAAACCACGTGGAAGGAGGGTGCCACTCTTGGAGGTAGACGTCGATCTTGAGCCACGAAGTCTCTTCTGCTTCTGCCGCTGAGTAGTGTAGTGAAGAGTTTCCAGCAGCTGGAGAGAGCCGACAATCCTCCTCTAGCATTCATCCCTCGCCGGGACAGCCACCGATGCAAAAGGCAATCCGCAGGCTCACAGCAGTGTCGTACACCTCAGCGTATGGTATAGTCTGCTGTATGAAGGTACCTTGAGATTACATGTCATGTGAAGAGGTGGTATCATCTGCTGTGGCCTTGCAAAGTTCGATATTGTCCGCGGGACAAGTATCGTAGGGAAATCGGGTCTTCCATGATTCGTGGCCAAAACGTGAAGGCAATCAAGACGTGGAATATCCCCTCTTTGGACACAATTTTGATCGTGTTATTGCTGCTGATGGATGGAATGAGACAAGATTTCACGCCTCCCACGGTTTCATCATTAACAATCTACACTAATAGTCATGTAGAGAACAATCGTGAAATTGAAACACCGCATCTGTCCATTCGTCAGATTGTTTGAGACTTGGCGTCAAATGGAAATAGGAGACCTCTCCGCTGTATGAAAATATTATTTCACAACCAACCACAATCGGTTTAGGGAACGGCCACCAAGTAAGTCCAGTTCCAGGTCTGTCTTCTTATCTACAGTCCACGGTGCCTACCCTATTCCACGAAAGACACAAGAGCAATGCTACGGTAGGGGGGACACTTTTTAAGACATAGGTAACACGCTCGTAACTCTCTCAATTTTTGCACTTTAAGGAAATCAGTTCTGCCCAGGCAGCCGCCTGGCGTATATTTCGCGGTGTGCAAAACAATAAGCACTTTTTCCATTGGTTGAGGTAGTACACACCAGTCCGCCAAAACACTCCATGTGACCGAGGGGGTACCCCCTATCGTAGCATCCCTCACAATGGGCAGAAAGTTCGACGAAGAGGAAGATAGAGACGGAAAGCCTATCATTTGATTCGTACTCTAGCTGTATTTCTACGCCGTCTTCAAAAGAAAAAGAATAGGGTAAGATGTTATCATGAACGGAGAAGAAAGGGCTTTTCCAAAACGGAGATGTAGCATGGATCAAAGCATTTATTTGTTGGATTTCAGCTTTTACAAGAGGACATCAACGCAGAAGTATTTTAGCAAGCTTACGAACGCATATAGGATACCATGAGGATTGCCATTGGTTTTATTTCAAGTTGAATAGGAGATATTTTTTCGATGTAAGTGACAGTAGAAATAAGTCCTACATATGTTGTTGTATTCGTATTGCTTTAATATTCATGTAGAGTATGAATCATTAAGTGAAAGTTTTCTGAGGTACATCTGCAATTGTCGGAAGGCAACAAACAAACATAAAAAATGTGATACCGCGTTGAAGCAAAGAAGAGGTGCTGATCAGACACCTACCTCCGGCAACTCGCACATCAATACAAGCTGTTCAAGACCAACACCAACATTCAACAACACCAACAGCAAGATATACAAACACACCAACAACAACCAAACCACACCAACAGCAGCGTTCAACAGCACGACCAACCCAAACATTCAACACCAACAGCAACACCAGAACACGACAACACCAACACTCAACAACCCACCAATACCAACGGCACCATCAGAAAAAAACTCACTCTTGCACTCTTCCCTTTGGATAGAATATACTTTTTCGGGTATTGTATTTTTTTCGGGTTATCTCCACCACACCCCCACCACTCTAGCGCAAAGGTTCAACACTAACACCCACTCCAACGCCAACACTAGAACGCCAGAACATCAACACCAGCACCAACACCAGAGCACCAACATTCAACAACACACCAATACCAACGACACCAACGAGAATAAGAAATCTCACTCTTCACGTTTCACATTTGTCGGGGTTACCTCCACCATGCACCAACGCCAAAAAACACAGGTTTTTCGTCGTTTCATCGACATATCTAGTCTTTCGTTGTGTATATTTTTTTTCCTAAACATTTCGTTCATAACGCCGACCACTATATGAACCCTAAGTACTCTTGGAAATCTATCGGATGGTGTCCGTGCACAGTCTCACCTTGCCGGCTCGCCCACTTGACCTTGTCACTCTGGCTACCGTCAAGCACCGTCCTACCTGATTGTGCGCTGGCTCTAGCAGCACACGTCACCCTGCTCGTCGCGACAGTGCGTGCCTGACTCCGTGTGCAAGATGCGACACTACCCGAGCTACGGCTACTGCTAGGGCTACCCTTCCGAGTACGAGCCTGCCGCCGCGACGCAAGGTCATCATTCCTGCTGCTGCCGGTGGTGGTGCTGCGGCTGCTGAACAGAGCGTCACTTCCACGGCTTACGAACACAAGTCAACGACAACAGAAACAGCAACATCCGCCACCAAAAGCATATTCAACAGCCTAAGAGACGCCGGATGGGCGGAGATTCCCGGTACGTTTTGAATTTATCGGGGGAAGAATGGATCCCGTGGGGGCCGTGAAGATGGCGAGGAGCGCGCAAAATACGCCGAATGAAGAGTACCGACCGCCGTTGGTGATATTTTTCAACATACAATGTACATCCATCCATAATCAAGCGTCAGGTGAACTATGAGATTCGGTGTGCATGTGTCGGCCTTTCGTCGGGGTGCCGACCCGCGATCCGACTCGTGAGCGCATCTATATCTAGCCATCAACGACAGAGCTACAACGAAGGACAGCAGCGACGCGTCCAAAAAAGCGCGCACATCTCCATTGAATCACGGATGCCAAAAAACGAGACTCGGAGGCAGCTGGCTTCTCACTTCCCGCCAAGCGAGATGAAGAACAAAGGCGCATCGACCGAGTCGGCGGCGCCTGGGTGGTAGACTGGGAAGGCGGTGCCCGGACCGACTAGTGAGCCGGAGTGATGGGCACCATGGACTCACGAGTCGGAATCTCGTGGACCTCGAGTAGAGGCTTGGTCCAGGTCACCCGTCTGCGGTGGGGAGCAAGCACGTAGCGAGCACCTGCCGCAAACCCACGAACGAGAGCGACTGCGATGATCCCACGACCGAGTGCGGCCCCGAGGAGAAGGATGAAGTTGAATACACCAGACGTCATGGTTTCGAGGGTCGGTTGAAAAGTGAGCCGAGAAGGGGAACGGGCAAGAGGGGGAAGGGTGAGAACACAGCTAGACTACCTACTTAATTTATGTGCAGTGAGATCTCACATTCTTCTCTCTGCTGTGTCTATTTCTTCGTGTCAATTTCTTCAATACTTGCGGTCCGATGTCGAACCAATTTCATATTAGTTTCCAGACAATCAGCAGGAGCTTGAGAAATTTTTGTCATTTTGTCTACTTGTTCACTTCTCGGATGAGTCGCGGTTCGAAATCTTTTTCAGTTTTCAGCCGATGAACGCGAGAGGGGGTCTAGGGTTCGTCTCCCGTGCTCATCCCACCACCGTTTTTTTTTCATCGTGCGGTGCATGTACTGGTTTCTGTCCTTGCGTTTGGAGCTTCAGGCAATGAACGAGAGTGAGAGAGTGACAGAGAGAGAGAGAGAG